AGGATGGGGGGAAGTAGCGAAAGTGAAGGGCCTAGGGCTGCCCCAAGGGAACAGCAGCACTTACATCAGTGATCTGACAGAGCGCTCTCACAGCAGGGCCTCGGTAGTTGTCATCCTTCCCAGTCATGTCTTTGGTCAAGCTGGTTGGAAAGAGGAAGCTCTCAGAACTGCACTCCGAAGCCAGCAGCTTGCAGGGCTCACACAGTGCACATGGAGCAGCAGGCAGCCAGCACCACAGCTCAGTGCCAAGCAGGCAGCTCGGGAAGGAGGAAAGATCAGCACTCAGGCTCCAAGCCCAGCAGCAGGCTGTGTGGCCTCCTGAGCACCAAGCAAGGCCAGAGCACACACACATACCCCTGAGGCATTTGCCTTCCTTACTGAAGGCTCATTCCTGCCCTTTCCCCAGGGTCCTGGTCAGTGTGAGACCATCTGTGAAGGGATGGGAGTTCATCACATCACAGCACTTGGCTCATACCCTCAAGCTCCTGTCTCCCCACACCAGCCTTTCAGTGGGATGATCAGGAATTCAGGAACAACTCACAGGGAATTTTGCTCCCTGGTGAAGCTGTATCCTGTGCTGCTTGAGGAGCAGTAAACCCTTGTCTACCTGCAGAAAGCCTTGGGATTGCTGCCAGAAATCTTCACTAAGCTTCAAGGCATTCAGACAGGGAAGTCGGAGTTAATGAAACAGCCTTTGGCAATGGGGACAAAACATCAGTGCTGCTGTATCATGTAACCAAAAGAGCCCATCCAAACGCCTGGAGGCATGGGATGTGGGGACACAGCACATTTCACGTGCATCACTAGGAGCTCAGTGTCTGTATTTTAATGGCCTCTTTTGAAGGAATTTTTTTTCCCCCACCAAGGGCATTCCCTGTCCTCACCCTGCTTAGGGACAAGTTATCTGCAAGAGGTTGGACAGGCACAACTGGAGGACATGTGAATACGACAGTAAGAAAAGTGAAGTGACTGACCTGCTGGTAACAATGATCACATCTTCTGCAATTGAAGACATCTCTTTGATAGTCAGGTAACACATCCTGCGAAGAGTTGGCTGACAAGGAAAGAGGGAAGACAGATATCAGCTGAGAGGATCCCAGATAGGAAGGAATCTCAGATTTCCCTGCTTCCATGATTTTATTGTGAAGATCAAGAACCTGGTACCTTCAGAGAGCCCCAGTGCCTGTGTGTAAAACATGTACAAACCCCATATTGATTAACCAAACACCTCTTCCTCATCCTACTCTTCCCGCTCAGATCCGGTAGCTCCAGGCAGGATGGAAATGCTGATTGTACAAAAACACACATGTCCAGGCTGAAAAAGACACTGTTGACACCTTGTCCCACCAGGCAAATACAGCAGAAAACAAGAAGCAGACTTACATCATTGGACTGAAACAGCTTGGTCATAGCAAAGAAGGATTCGGTAGCTTCCATGACACCAAGGTGCTCCCCCTAGAAGATGTTTTGAAGAAAGGAAGGAAATCCCAGTTATCATAACCAGCTTTGGGCCTGCTGCATATGTCGCTATAGGTATAGATGCTATAGGTGTGGATTCTCTGTCCCTTACCTGGTTTATGAGATACAGGATCTTGGTGAGGATATGAGCACATTTTCGTGGGTTGATGGGAGTCTCATTAAACACTCGTGCCTGGAAACAAAGCACAGACAAGGCTGCTGGCACCAGCACCCCTTGCAAACACTGTCCTGTCTGGTCTTGGCCACTGATACAAACAACACAAGTTATGGCAAGATCCTTAATGACTTTGGATCAGATTCCCCTTAATTCCTGTTAAACAGCTGCGCCTACAGCCTGGGATCACAAATCCAAGTGCAATTAAGGTTTAAAGACCAAATCCTCATCACACTTTCCCTCCCACCAGTCTGGCCTGTGTGCTAGCTCTGGCTGTGTGAAAGATGCACATGAGCCCTGCGAGGCTGACAGGAGCCAGCACCATTCACAACATCACAAGCAAACCGACAACACAAACAGCAGTGTCTGGGGGTTGAGAAGTTCACCTGCTGTCAAGCAGAAAGGCATTTCTTCAGAGCAGATTCAGATTTCTCAGTAACCACTCACACCCTACTCATTAACATTGTCATCTACAAGACACTTGGAGTGTTCAAGGCCTGTTTCCCAACCTTCCTGGTTTAGGGTGAGCTTTCCCAGGTAAGTTTATTCATTTCATCACGAGTTATAGTTCACAGTCTCCAGTTTGGTACAGAGACCATTCCTGCCTCCTCCCTTCCCTCCAACAATAAATAAGAATGAA